TCACTTGAAATGATGCTACGAGGAAAATGATAACATCATTGTATATAGTTAGTCAAGCAATATTAGTTTAAGTTAGCTAGACGTACCTTTCATTGCTTTCCGCTTTCTTCCTCAATAATTACATTCTTCAAACCGTGACCGGAGCATGACATTTTCTTATCAAATTTTTTAAAACATTGTAACTTTTAGACTACGATAACAATTGAGTTTAGTTTTGATTACTATTAAAATTATATTATCTAATTATTTAATGGAACATTATAGAATAAAATCACTTTATATTATCGATCTATCCAATAGATGACATAACAAGTATCAAACACATGGTTATTCACAATATAAAATGTTTTTACAATAATAATAAATCAATATAAATTCATAACAAAAATATCTTGAATTTAGTTCACCCATTTTTAAAGAAGTTTTCTATTAAAATATTCATTAAACTATGGGATACGTTATATTTATAAATTTTTTGTTTTAAATTTTTACAAATAAACAAAAAATTTACAAACTATATTATATACTACGGGTAGTATATGCTTTAGTAGTATTTTCTACCCGTAACATATAGTGTAGTTTGTAAATATTATTATGCTCTTAAACTATTATTATACATTTTTATTTTAGGGATGCTAAATAAAACCCCTACAAAACAAATTCATGATGAAAATTTCTATAATTCACATAAGATTATTAAAGCATATAATAATTAAACAAAACTCTCTTAAGGTGAGTGTGTTTTTAAAGTGAATAATTAATGGTGTATTACACGATTAATTAGTTTACGATATGAAAAAATCACATGTATATGTGATATTCGATACTAGCTAATTATATATATATATATATATATATATATATATATATATATATATATACGAGTTAACTATCTATTTATCTACACACAAATATATATATATATATATATATATATATATATATATATATATATATACTCTATTTACCATGCATTTAATTTAAAATTCTTCATGATTTTAACCCACTAAAATTTAGTGGTGAGTACATTCTTATTAATTCACTTTAAAAAAAAATTAGTTTAAATAAAATCTCCCTTAATAATTATCCACATGATACTTGCTATGGTAATAGATCAAAATGTCAAATGTAATAGTAAATAAAATTCTAATCAAAACTATTAAAATAAATGCAAAATCCTCTTCATATGAAAAATATAGTATTATATTACTTTTCATAATTTTCAATAGAAATTTCTTAAATTTCTTTAATTTGTAATTTAAAAAAAAAAATTGTAATTTTTTCATATGTCTGTAGGTTAAAAAAACAAAAGTGAAAAAAAAAGAGAAAAAAAAATATAAAGGTGAGAGAGAAAAAGTGATAAGAAAGAAAACGAACTCGCAAAATTTTAAAATAAAAAATTCAAAAGCTAAAAATTCACAAACAGAAATTTTCTGATTTCTATTAGAATTACAAAGTTTTTTTATTTTAAAGGGATATATTATTTTATTTATATTCTTTTATCTATTTTTATTTACCACTCTCTAATATTAAAATCTCAATAAGAGAAAAAATAGTAAATAATTAAGATTCTAATTTTATAATATTAAAAAATAATAATTAAAGATGAAAAATAAATAAATAAATAGAATAATATATTTTCTTTTAAAACGGATATGATCCATTTACTAACTTTTTTTACAAATTACACTAAGTATGACCAGTCGTACACTACATAATTAAAATATGACCGATCGTACTTAGTATAATTTATAAAAATTTGTAAATAAAAAGGTTTGTAAATATAACTTAATAACACTAAATTTTAAAAGTCCCTTCTAATGTTGGTTGTAAAGTAACATTGATGACTTGACCGACCCAACCCAACGGACCCAAAAGAATGACAACGCCTCACGTGGACGCCACAGAGATACGCAGTCAACTTCGGCGGCCACAGCCCCAAAGCTAAAAGCGGAGTAATTTTGTTCCGATCAAGTTAAAATTAAGATTTTTTATAAAATTAGAAGTGGGATAAAAGTCATAAAATATAAAATTATAATGTAAAAGAATTATAAAAAGTCATAAAGTATAAAAGTATTTGGAAAATTGATAAAATTATTTTGATAATTTTTTTTGGTAAAAACATAAAATTATAATAATAAATCAAAATTTTAATTCCTATGATCGTGACTGTAGTCACCAAGTGTGCACGTTTATATATATATATATATATATATATATATATATATCACTAAGTATACATTATTTGATCCATAATATTAAAATGAATAATAATAATAATCTACTTAACCAAAATGAGACATTGAGTGATAAAGAAAAATGTCTGAATTTACTAACAATCAATAATTTTTCATTCAACGCAGTCACTTGTTTGTACTCTCTATGCGAAAGGACGTTCGTATTATAATCATGAGTACATCCACCCTCGTGACAGAAGTGACAAAAAGTTGCGGTGATAATTCCTTTTTTAGTTCTTTTGGTTTGTGGGGTAATAGAAAATTAGCTATTACACCTTTCTGGTATGTGTCATTGGCTCATCATTTCAATCTGATCTTTGCTTTACGTTCATTCCTTCAATTATTATCATTATACAACTTGAAACTCTTTCTAGATTCACAAATTGACACTTTTGACTGCTAATTTTGCAATAATAGTTGCATTTTGTAAAACAAATATGAATTTAATATTTCTCATATTATAAAAAATAATTTATTTTTTACATATATAAAAATGTGTAGGATTTTTTTTTTTTTTTTTTTTTCTCACATAGACCCAAATAAGTTCTATATATTTTTATATATGTATAAAAGATAAATTTATCTTCTATAGCATAAAAAATATTAAATCCTAAAAAAATAGAATGAACGAAATAAATCAAGACGGAGACACAAACAAAATTTATCATAGCATAATACTTTAATTAGACTGAAGTTATTGCCTGTTGGGAAATGGAATGAGGGAGCCCAAAACCCTTTGCAAATGATACATCCACCAATGGGCCAAATGACAAACCATAATAAGTGGGCCGACACCACATCTTAACCCAAAACCTTAAGGCTGCAGGTTTACGGGTCTTTCACACTTATATGGTCATCACTTGGTCTATGTGGTACTTCTTTACAACTCATACTTGATTATTTTCAACATCCTCCCTCAAGTGTGAGACCCAATATTATTCTTACTCTAAGGTCAACTTCTGCGGAAGTCTTTATTCCCTCTTCAAACATTGTGAGTTATATTTCTGCATCTTAATTTTTCGCCCAAAACCCTTTGCAAAGGATACATCCACCAATGGGCCAAATGACAAACCATAATAAGTGGGCCGACACCACATCTTAACCCAAAACCTTAAGGCTGCAGGTTTATGGGTCTTTCACACTTATATGGTCATCACTTGGTCTATGTGGTACTTCTTTACAACTCATACTTGATTATTTTCAACATCCTCCCTCAAGTGTGAGACCCAATATCATTCTTACTCTAAGGTCAACTTCTGCGGAAGCCTTTTTTTCTCTTTAAATATTAGGGTCACACTAGCCTTCTGCAGAGGCCTTCCAAACACACTTGGCCCAGCCCAGATCATTGGCTCTGATACCACTGTTGGGAAATGGAATGAGGGAGCCCAAAACCTTTTGCAAAGGATACATCCACCAATGGGCCAAATGACAAACCATAATAAGTGGGCCGACACCACATCTTATCCCAAAACCTTAAGGCTGCAGGTTTATGGGTCTTTCACACTTATATGGTCATCACTTGATCTATGTGGTACTTCTTTACAACTCATACTTGATTATTTTCAACATTGCCAACTTTGTTTCTACTCAACATAATTATAATTCAATGTCTCACTCACTGATCAACGGATAAATTTCTCACCTATCGCACACCCTATAAATTTTAGTATATTGAGAAATCAATAAAACTAATTTTCATTTTAGATGATAAAACTGTCTCTTTTATAATTGATTTTTTTACGAAATTCAACTCTTAATATTATAAAAATACATCAATTGCTGAATTGAAACTTTCTTAAAATTTAAGCCTCTTCTTATAAATATCAATTGAAAGTGCATATCTGTGATCAATGTTTACAAGTGTGAAATGTTGTATATTTCGCTTATAAAAAAAAGAAAAAGAAAAAGAAAAATTATAAAATTTAAAACTTCATTCCTAAAAAAAAAGTTTATAATATCTTTCTTTTTTCTGGTAAACAGTTTATAACATCTTTAATGAATAACATAAATAATATACCATTAAAAATGTTTTCCTTGTAGCGTAGCGTTCTGAGAGCTTATAGGTCAAACACGAATTCTTTACACAAATGTTAACAAGGGAGTTACAAATTTATAATGACGACGAAAAAGAATTTACATCTTTCCAAGCACACCTCAAAGTAATCAGAACCAGATCCTAAATCATAACAAGAATAACATGAGTTCTTTTCTTGATATTCACAAAACTGTCTCTATAATTTACGGGAATGGATCTTCTTTAATGTGAAAAAGTAATTATGTGATCATGTTATTTAATCACAACCACTCATTGATGATGAGATAAGAAAAATATATATATAATTTTTAAATGAGTGATTGTGATCAAATAACATGACCACATGACTATTTTTTCACGTGAGAAAATTCACTTCCATAATTTACACTTTTTAGTATATTTAATTTAAGAGTTAATTAAATATAAATAATTCACTTTCAATATAAGTTCATTTTTAACCTTTTGTAATAATAGGCTTAGAAGTTAGAACCCACATCAAATCATATAAATTTATTTTCTAAGTGAAGCGTCTAATTAATTGAAAAGTGATGGAAAGATCAAGCAAATTTAGTCACAAACTCAAATCTTCCAATTCCCATAATAAGGTAGCACCGTCCAAATTGAATCCTTTGTTTGTCTTCTTGTCCATACTCTGCATGTGAATCATTTTCTCTATGTGAAACCAAACCCAAATTTTCAACTTACAAACCACCCTTTATTGTGTTCAAACTCTTCTTCTATTTCCACCCACCTTCCTCACTGTTCCACTGACCAAACACTAACAACCCAACCTTCGCCGCCGGCATGTTCCCCGGAGGATTTTTCCGTCATGGGTCGCCAACCATTATTCTCACTGCTCTGTTTTTCCTCTGCCTCATTACTTTCTCTCAGTCAGATGAGCTTCAATCACTCATGAAGTTCAAGTCCTCTATCCAAAGTTCAAATGCAAGTGTTTTCAGCTCTTGGACACATGCAAATTCTCCCTGCAACTTCACAGGGATTTTCTGCAATTCCAACGGTTTTGTTTCAGAAATCAACCTTGCGCAGAAACAACTAGTGGGTACTCTTCCTTTTGACTCAATTTGTGAGCTTCAATCGCTTGAGAAGATCTCTGTGGAGTCCAACTTCTTGAACGGAAGCATCAGTGAGGACTTGAAGAACTGCACCAACTTGCAGTACTTGGATTTGGGTGGGAATTTATTCACTGGGGGAGTGCCTGAATTGTCAACTTTGAACAAGTTGAAGTACTTGAATTTAAATGCAAGTGGAATTTCTGGGGTATTTCCATGGAAATCATTGGAAAATCTAGCAAGTCTCACTTTCTTGAGCCTTGGTGATAACCTATTGGAAAGAGCTTCTTTCCCTTTGGAGGTCTTAAAGCTTGAAAAATTGTATTGGCTTTACCTCACAAATTGCAGCATCACAGGGAATATCCCATTGGGTATTGGAAATCTCACTCAGCTTCAGAATCTTGAGCTTTCTGACAACCAATTGTCTGGTGAGATTCCAGCTGATATTGGAAAGCTTAAGAGTCTCAAACAACTTGAGCTATATGACAACTATTTGAGTGGGAAAATCCCACTTGGATTTGGCAACCTTACAAATCTTGTCAAATTTGATGCATCAAATAATCAGCTTGAAGGTGATCTTTCTGAGCTAAGGTCCTTGGCAAACCTTGCGTCCTTGCAGGTTTTTGAAAACCAATTCTCAGGAGCAATTCCAGAAAAGCTTGGAGATCTAGAAAGCCTTGTAGAACTTTCCCTTTATGATAACAAGCTCACTGGTCCTCTTCCTCAAAAGCTTGGCTCCTGGGTAGGTATGCAATTCATTGATGTTTCAGATAATTCGCTTTCTGGTCCTATACCACCTGACATGTGCATGAACAACCAAATTACCGAACTAGCACTGTTAAATAACAGCTTCAGTGGAAGTATACCAGAAACATATGCAAACTGCACATCTTTGGTTCGTTTCCGCCTAAGTAGGAATTCACTTTCGGGTGTTGTTCCTTCTGGCATATGGGGCTTGCCAAATCTGCAACTAATTGATCTTTCAATGAACCATTTTGAAGGTCCAGTGTCATCTGATATTGCCAAAGCAAAATCTCTTGCGCAACTGTTTTTATCTAACAATCAGTTTTCAGGTGAGTTACCCTTGGAAATCTCTGAAGCTTCTTCTTTGGTATCAATTCAGCTAAGTTCAAATCGAATTTCTGGTCACATCCCAGAAACGATTGGCAACTTGAAGAAACTAACTAGTCTTACTTTGAATAAGAACAACCTTTCTGGTATTATACCATATTCTATTAGTTCTTGTGTTTCTCTTAATGAAATAAACCTTGCTGGTAACTCTCTTTCTGGGGAAATACCACCTAGCATTGGGTCTCTGCCTACCCTCAATTCATTGAACTTGTCCTCAAATAGGCTTTCTGGTAAAATTCCATCAAGTTTATCATCCCAGAGACTTAGCCTCCTTGATTTATCGAACAACCAGTTGTTTGGTTCCATACCTGAATCACTGGCCATTTCAGCCTTCAAAGATGGGTTGATGGGAAATCCTGGCTTGTGCAGCCAGACTTTGAAAAATTTCCAACCATGTTCATTGGAGGAATCCAGCAGCTCCAGGCGACTCAGAAACCTTATATTCTGCTTCATTGCTGTTTCAATGGTTCTGCTTGCTTCATCAGCATATTTCCTCTTCATGAAACTGAAGCAGAACAAGTTTGAGAAGCCACTGAAGACTAACTCTTGGAATTTCAAGCAGTACCACATGATAAACTTGAATGAGAATGAAATTATTAATGGGATCAAGGCCGAGAATTTGATTGGAAAAGGAGGATCTGGGAATGTTTACAAGGTTGTGCTTAAAAGTGGGGAAGAATTTGCTGTGAAACACATATGGACTTCAAATACAAGTGACCGGGGAAGTTGCAGGAGCAGCTCAGCTATGCTAAGAAAAAGTTCCCGGTCACCAGAGTTTGATGCAGAGGTGGCCACTCTGAGCTCTATAAGACATGTGAATGTGGTGAAGCTCTATTGTAGCATCACAAGCGAAGATAGTAGTCTCCTTGTTTATGAGTTCTTACCAAACGGGAGTTTGTGGGACAGGTTGCACATTTGTAAGAAGACTCAGATGGGGTGGGAGGTAAGGTATGACATTGCAATGGGTGCTGCTAGAGGATTGGAGTACCTGCACCATGGGTGTGATAGACCTGTTATACACAGGGATGTCAAATCCAGTAATATATTACTTGATGAGGAATGGAAGCCAAGGATTGCTGATTTTGGGCTTGCTAGGATTGTGCAGGGAGGAGCAGGAAATTGGACCCATGTCATTGCTGGAACACTTGGATACATGCCTCCTGGTAAGCTCTAAATCACCTTTTGTTGATTGAGCTTGGTATGGGTATTATGGTTAAAACCGTTAATCCTTTATGATTGTTTAGGAAAGTATTTGAGGAATTTTCACTTGTTGGCTATTATTGTACCTTAAAATTGATCATGTTGATTTTTCTTATGACAGAATATGCCTACACTTGCAAAGTGACAGAGAAGAGCGATGTTTATAGTTTTGGAGTAGTCCTAATGGAGTTGGTAACAGGAAAGAGGCCTATGGAACCAGAGTTTGGAGAGAACGAGGACATTGTCCACTGGGTATGCAGCAATATTAGGAGCAAGGAAAATGCGCTTGAATTGGTGGATTCTACCATTGCAAAGCATTTCAAAGAAGATGCCATGAAGGTGTTGAGAATTGCAACATTATGCACTGCAAAATTTCCATCTTCAAGACCGTCAATGAGAATGTTGGTTCAAATGCTGGAAGAGGCAGATCCTTGTACTCTAACCAAAATAATTGTGACCAGAGATGGTTAAACAGGTTGCACCAGAGGAATTAACTTTTCTCTCAACTGCAGACATTTTGTGAGGCTGCGAAGGGGTGAAAAATACTAGTAAATTCAACTAATTAGACTTTTAGTTACACAAAATACTAGTAAACTCTAGTTGAAACTAGTGGGATGTCCTGAAGTTAGAATAGAATTACCTCTCATCCCCTGAACTTTTTTGTTAAAAAATAAAAATGCTCATAGTTTGAACCATCTGCTCTGAGAAACCAAAAGAAGATTAGCTTGCAGCTTTGGAGCATATTTGTTGTAATAAAATTTTGGTTCCAATCAAATAATATTTTCTTTGGGGATTAGCTTGTAGCTTTGTAGTACGTGTTCTCAACAAGCCAATGAAGATTGCTAATTATTACATAAATCAAGTGTAAGTTTGCTTGCAATTCGAAGCTGGGCTAACAATACCGGATTCTATGTGGCTGTCACTGCTCTGTTTAACAAGCCCGGAATGTTACCACTATACACATGCATAATTCTTTTATCATCTATACATACACGTAAGATTAATAAATTCCAAAAACAAATCCTAAAGTTAGCAAGCTGCCGAGACTAAAATCAATTAAAATCAATAGCCTAAGCCTAAACCAACCACCCACACAAGAAGGCTACCACCTTTCAAGAGCAAAAATACTTCAAACTCAGTTTTGCGGGGACCTTCCAAAAGGAAAGTCACCTTTAAAAAATAGTCGTATGCCACTTGTAGCGACGAGCACACGGTATTCTTTAGTAAAAGGCGAAAGAATAGTTCGCTTTGTGCTCAACGCATGGCTCCGTGATTTGACAAGTTGATAAGCCTGTGTATTTATATTGCAGAGATAGCTGGTACTTCCATTTCTTTCCCAATGTGGGACTTAGTTAGTGGTGCTTCATCTCACATCTATTGTTGATCTAGTATATATACATTATGTATACATGCAAACACTACTAAAACAATGATGTTATTCAATGAATAACATGTGTACTCTTCGAGAAGACCAGCACACAAATAATATATATTTCTCCAAACTTATCTGAACTGATTAGTGTATGTTTTTTGAAGTAAGCAACTTGTTCTGTTAAGGGAGCTCGTAACATCTCATAGATTATGAAGCTCACAAGTCACCGGGCTTATCCTCTTTCTTTCTTTCTTTTTCTAATACTGCAGACACTCTCAGAGTTAAAATCGTCAAGGAAAACTTTGTTGCAAAAATTTACGCTTGCAGAAAGACTATTGTCAAAATATCATGCCCTTTGATTGTGAAGTCACAAGGCTTATCTTATGAAATTGTTGCTAATATCATGTTTGCTGCTTGATGCAGCTTATTCTATTTCCGTGCTTGCACAAAGAAGAATTGTTTATTTTCCTCCTGCTTTCACCAATCTCAACCACATCAACTACAGATTAACAAGAATTTTAGACACTATTTGTTGCAGTCCTACTTATGACAAGATAACGTTATGGAAAATATTGGTGTCTAAAGTAATTAGTAATAAAATACCTGTATCATTATCTCCAAATGCTCCTTCAACTTCACAGTTTGCAGAAGATGCATCTTCCTTTGTTTGTGCAAGTATCCTATAATTCCAATGTATATTGTAGCTCAAGCAAAATCATATGTTTCAGAATAGGCTATATATGGAACTAAATCTATCTGGCTACATTAACTGTTATTGAAGACAGTAGGTGATATTATATCACTAATAGATTTGAACCCATGTATAAAGCAGAGGAGATAGATGATCAGGATTATCACTGTGTAATTAAAGATATTAAAAACAGACTTACTTGTCAGTGGCAGAATGATGAAACAGACAGAATGAAAGGATGAATATATGCAGTATAAGAGGAATTAAATCCGAGCCCACAGAACGTGTCTCCTTAAGACAATTTGCCCCCTCACTGATGCCTAAGGTTGATGGACACTTGTCTCCCAGGATAGAACGGATTTCGTCTGAAGAATGGTGGCACTACCAATCAACAGCCCAAACGAACACAACAAAATGCCAGAGGAAGTCACACCGGAGGATGAACAACAGTATGCAAAACCGGAAGAAGAAAAATTCCGGCAGAGTTTAAGTGCAGGAAAAACTGGATAGATTTCTGAAGGTGTCAGTGTCTATTTATAGACACTGACCGGTCACGATGAACAGTCGCCGGCGGCGAACCGCCGTGTCTGATGGCGGCGAACGGGTGCGACCGGTGACTGTTCCGACGAACAGATACGACCGGTGACCGGTTCAGCGAGCAGACACAACCGGTGACTGGTTCACGAAGGGAAAGAACCGGTTCGGTTCAATACTGCTCAAAAAACCGGCGGGTAGAAACGTTTTTGGTTGGAGGGAAGCAACGGTAAATTTTTTTTGGACAAAATATTAAAAAATAATTTAATAAAAAATTATTTTTTTATTACACACTATGAGCCGAGCCGAGCCGAGCCGAACCGGCCGGACGGACGGCGGCGGCGCGCGTGGTGAACCAATGCTCACCTAGCTCTCCCCCCTACATAAAACATGTAGTGACCCAAGGGTCAATCTAAGAGAGGGAAGTTGGAGCTTATATACTCTCCTATTTCCTACTAATTGTCCAATGTGGGACTTGTTGAAACCCACACACCTCTTCATCTTCCCTTTTTCTCTTTTCTTTATTAACCCACTTCTTATTCATAACCAATGGATCATTGTACATTAATTCATTCATTAATTCCAACAATCCCCCACATGGATAAGAAGTCAAATCATCGTGACAAAATGCATAAGAGTATAAATGCAAAGTGTAAATTCCTCAACGAGAAACAACTGCATCGAGATAGGTGGAGTTACCTTTGAACCTTCTCTAGTGAAAACCTATCGGATATACTCGGTCAATCGGTGGTCTAGGTCGACTTGAACCGTCAACCTTTAGTGTATACCTAGACAATAGGAGTCACACAATTGCTTCTCTAGCATTGTTGGTCCTTTGTTGCGCCCATTTTGGCCGTGGGACACCTGCCTGGTTCTGCGAGTGTTTTAGAGAATCGGCCTTTAAAAATTCTCATAGAAGCGGCCCTCACTTCACACTCACATAGGTGATTTCTTGTGATGTAAATCACTATACATCATCTGAACACAACAGATTAAGAAATCACTAAAAGCCTTAATGCTTACCCTCATAAATACACTGTCTTGTCTTAGGAATGAGTATGAGTTTAAAAACTCCACAGTGTTTGAACAGTTGACCATCACTTAGTTGTCTCTTTGAACCTAGTTCATGGGATCTCCACTCTTCTAGGTAGATTTACCGCAATGCTCAACAATTGATAGGCCTTAAACCCATTCCTTTCGACAAATTTTCAACCAACTCTCTAGGAATCCCTTTGGTTAACGGATCCGCTATGTTTTCCTTAGACTTAACATAGTCAATTGAAATGATTCCATTCGAGAGTAGTTGTCTTACGGTATCATGTCTACGACGTATGTGTCTAGACTTACCGTTATACATGACGTTCTTGGCCCTTCCAATAGCTGCTTGGCTATCACAATGTATGCATACAGATGGTACCGGTCTTGGCCAATTAGGAACATCCTCAATAAAATTACGAAGCCATTCGGCTTCTTCACCGGCCTTATCTAAAGCAATAAATTCTGCTTCCATGGTTGACCTTGCAATGCAGGTTTGCTTGGACGATTTCCAAGACACAGCACCTCCACCAAGGGCGAACACATATCCACTTGTGGATCTAGTGTCGTTAGAGCCGGTGATCCAATTTGCATCACAATACCCTTCTATAACCGCGGGGTATTTCTCGTAATGCAAAGCATAATTCTGAGTATACTTCAAGTATCCCAAAACTCTTACCATAGCTTTCCAATGATTCTCATTTGGATTACTGGTAAAGCGACTTAACAGACTTACTGCATAAGCAATATCAGGTCTGGTGCAGTTCATAACATACATAAGGCTTCCCAACACTTGAGCATATAGCTTTTGTGCTGTAGCTTTACCAGTGTTCTTTAATAAACTCAAATTAGAATCTACAGGATTCCTCACAGGAGTTATATTCAAACTCTTGAATTTATCAAGAACCTTAACTATATAGTGAGCCTGTGATAATGCCAACCCTGCAGATGTTCTATGGATTTTAATTCCTAGGATAACGTCCGCTATCCCCATATCTTTCATCTCAAACTTACTTTTAAGTAATTGTTTAGTAGCATTAATCATTTGATTATTACTACCCATGATCAACATGTCGTCTACATAAAGACAGACAATGGCAAAACCTTTTTCAGTATTCCGAACATAGACACATTTGTCACATTCATTAATTCGAAAACCATTTGATAACATAACTTTGTCAAATTTTTCATGCCATTGTTTTGGAGCTTGCTTTAACCTGTAAAGGGATTTTATTAAGCGACAAACTTTCCGTTCTTGTCCTGGAACAACAAAACCTTCAGGTTGTTCTAAATATATCTCTTCGTCCAGGTCGCCGTTTAAAAAGGCAGTTTTCACATCCATTTGATGTATTTCTAATCCATTCAATGCAGCTACCGCGATCAACATCCTGAAGGATGTGATCCTTGTAACGGGTGAATAAGTATCGAAGTAATCGAAACCTTCACGTTGCCTGTAGCCTTTTACCACAAGTCTTGCTTTATATTTATCAATAGTGCCATTCTCTTTCATTTTTCTTTTGAACACCCACTTACTTCCTAACGTCTTATTGCCAGGAGGAAGATTTACCAGTTCCCAAGTGTGGTTAGACAAGATAGACTCTATCTCACTATTGATAGCCTCTTCCCAGAGTGGTCCTTCCGGGGACGTTATAGCTTCCTTATACGTCCGAGGTTCATTTTCCAATAAGTATGTCATAAAATCAGGTCCAAAGGATGTGGCGGTCTTTTGCCTCTTGCTACGTCTAGGTTCATCTTCTATGTCCTCTACGGTATCAGTATCAGTTGTAGCATCTCGAGGTATCTCAACCTGATCATCATCATTACCACTTGATTCATGTTTTTTCTTATACGGAAATATGTCTTCAAAGAAAGTAACTTCCCTTGATTCAATCACCGTATTAATATGTATATCTGAGACATCAGATTTATACACTAGAAAGTGATAAGCACTACTATTAAGTGCATAACCGATGAATACACAATCCACGGTTTTAGGTCCGATTCTTAACCTTTTAGGTTTAGGAACCGCAACCTTAGCCAAACACCCCCACACTCTAAAGTATTTCAGGGATGGCTTCTTTCCTTTCCATATATCATATGGTATGCTTTTTATCTTTTTGTGGGGCATTCTATTAATAATATAATTAGCCGTCAACATGGCTTCCCCCCACAAATTCTGTGGTGAACCGGACGTAATTAACATAGCATTCATCATCTCTTTCAGTGTCCGATTTTTCCTTTCTGCAATCCCATTTGATTGCGGTGAATAAGGAGCTGTTGTCTGGTGTATAATACCAGACTCTATACAGAATTCCTCGAAAGGGCCATCATATTCTCCCCCACGATCGCTCCTTACCATTTTAATTTTCTTGTTGAGTTGATTCTCAACTTCACTTTTATATTGCTTAAAAGCAACAATAGCTTCATCTTTACTATTGAGTAAGTACACATAACAATATCTACTGCAATCATCAATAAATGTAATAAAATATTTCTTATTACCCTTAGATGGTGTAGATTTCATGTCACATATATCAGTATGTATTAAATCTAACAACTCGGTTGATCTTTCAACTGATTTAAAAGGTAATTTCGAAAATTTTGATTCAACACATACTTGGCACTTATTATTTAAA